AACTTCTGAACAATTACAGGGGATTAACGCCAGACAGAATGCATTCCAGTGAAACCCGATCCTGCTTATTCCTCTCTGGCAACCCTGCGCAACCTGCCGTGGCTTATCTGCCTCATGGCATATTATTTTGATTTTTCCCGATTTTTCATTTTGAATTCACTCGTTAATACTGATTGAACTGGTTACCTTTTATTTATTCATTTATCTATCTATGTATTTATTTATGTTTATTTATTTATTTTAGTGGGTTCCGTAAGGAGTAGTTTTTTTTTAGTAAATAAGATCGTTGATGGTTTACGATTAAGCTTACAGAGATAATCCGGAGAATTAATACGTTCTTAAGTAAGTAAATAGATATATAACTAGATAGATCAAAATATAAATAGATGAACAGATACATAGATTGGTAGATAGACATGCATAGAGAGATAAACAATTGACAAAAGGATAGAACAGTGTAAGGGTACAGAGAAAAAGAGGCAAGTAAATAGATAGATAGACAAAACATTAGAAAGATAGATAAATAGATAGACAAAACATTAGAAAGATAGATAGATAGGCAGAAACACACGACAGGAATAGACGGAGACAACGTAAAGAGAGAGATAAAGTGATAGAGAGCGAGAGAGAGAATACAAAAGTGGGCGTGGCGGAGAGAGAAAGGGGGAAGGGGGGAAAGGGAGGAACCATGAGAGGGGGAGAGTTAGTGGGGGTGGATTGGAGAAGAGGGAGGGAGTTGATGGGCGGGGTAAGGGGGAAGGTCTGGTAAGGGCGAGGGAGGGAGCAAGGGGTGTTGGGGGAAGGGGGGGAGGGGTGCTATCGCTCCAGGGTACGAAAAGAGAACTGAAAGGCAAGGGCGGGCGCCTCTCCGTTAGGTTGCAAGTGAATTATGCAGGGATAGATGCAAGTCTTGCTTATGGTAATTCTGGCACAATTTCATACATGCGACTAACTTTGCTTGTTGAGTGGAGATGGTAATGATGATGCTTACAATGCAGGAAGACAGAGAAAAAGCATTAAAGTCTGTCCGATGACAGGTCATAAACAAGGGGATTTTATAAAATGTGTTTGCGTGTGTATTTGTGTGTGTGTCATTTTGTATGTGTGTTTGCGTTTGCGTGTGTGTGTTTGAGTGTGACTGTGTGTGTTTGTGTGTGCGTAAGCATGTATATATCAAAGAGTGTGTTTGTGTATGTTTATAGCTAGATATAAAGATACAAAGTACAAATATGTCCGATATCAAATCGTAAACAAGGGGATTTGAAGATTTAAAAAAAAATGTCTTTATGTCAGTGTGTGTATTTTGTGCATGTGTATGTGTATGTATCTGTGTGTGTGTGTGTGTTCTGTGTGTGTGTGCCTATAGCTACCTAGAC